TACATACATACATACATACATACATACATACATACATACATACATACATACATACATGCGTACATACATAGTATAGGGTAAATAAGAGAGGCTAGGAATGATTGGCTATTCTATCAATCTATAAAATACTCGCACTCTAGACATGCTGTTCAAAAATATTGTTGACCTTGGATTCATAATTTTGTCGATATCTGCAAATCTTCGCTAAAATCTCAAAAAAAATTTTATGAAACGACTTGAGACGAGTTTGTGAGGACCTTATTAAGGACAGCCTCCAATAAAGTAATTGCAAATCTTTGCTCATTTTTATACTCTGATCAAAGAATTTTAGGACCTGCGTCAAGGAGGTTTGCTACATGTGTAAGCTTTAATTCTTTCAAAATCTAAAATTAGAAGTGATATGGAGAGTGAATAAAGTGATAGAAGATTTCAAAGTTGCGATAATATGAAAAAAATTTTCTCACAATGATCCTGTCCGCAGGGATGTAAAGCGCATAATATATTCAGTTCCTGATTTATGGAGCGACTATGGGAGAGAGAGAGAGTTATGGTTAGTTTAATTAGATTTTAGGCTTACTGAATAGTTTTAAACCTTAATAACTTTGCTGAATATGTGTTCCTTGCTCTGCAATGAGTTCCGTTGGCCATACATAAATAACATTCTTTACAAAGTATTCACCATTTTACTACTTTGAATGTAACATTGGATTTACCTTTTAAGAGAAAAGTCGAAATTCAATTTCAAAGTTGCGGGATGTGCAGTCATGAACAGTGTTCAATTATGGTGCACTCTTTCAAAGATAAAGCTTAATGTTACCGCGAGAGCGTAACATAGTACATATTAAACTTAGCGTTGAAAATTTTTCGTTACGGGGATATTTTGCTTCTTCATTCTGTTTCAATTTCTCTGCCTTTCTCTTGTTGTAAATCAGAAAGCGACAAATGTTATATCATGGTCAACTACTGGTCCTCTGAGAAATTTATTTTGCCAAACGGTTTGCACACGCTACACGATTAGTTCCATCGCCCGTATGGGTAACTCCATCCTCCTCGGCCACCACCGTGACCTCCGCGATGGCCCATTCCCCATCCAGCTCCTCCTTGACCCCAGCGGCTGAAATAGCGCCTCCAGTCGTATGCCTCTCGTTTAGTCCGAGTCAAAACGCTGAAAGGCTTTAAGTAAGTTTTTAAAAACTGTATGTATGCTTGTACTGGCTAAAAAGCATGAAAAATGGCAATTTTTACTTACCTCTTCTCTTTCGTAGGTGCAGCGGCTAGACAAGCAATGATTATTGTAAAGAGAAATATGAGCTTCAAAGTATTCATTCTGGAAAACCTAATATTGGTACTAAGAGTAAAGAACAGATATCGACACCAGGAGGCCCAATTAAGAAAGTGGATGATCTTGTGAATCAGGCTTGAGACAGATTTTACAAACGAAAACTCTTGAAAAGAATTGGGTTGAGTGGTGCAAATTTACCTTCAACATGCGAGCTTGTGTTTCATGCGAGTTGGCGATTTCACTGATTAACTATGCAAAATTTAACAAGGAGATGAATTTATGATGTATTTCACATTGGAACACTGGTCAAATTGTAAACTCACAGTCGAAAAAATTTTGAACAAATTTCAGTATAAGTCAACAATCTTCATACTACATTTTGTGCAAACTGAGTGCTTACAAAATTGATTTCTGGGGGTGCTTAAAGACAAAAAAATGGCGCTGCTAAATCAATGCTTCTTCAAAGTAATGGTCCGCTAAGTTTTTTAACGATAGCTTGAAGTATATACCATCGTACCACTGATAAGATAACGCACAGTTTGTATCAACAGTGTGCCGGAAGCAACTCTGACTCGGAGCAAGAGTTGGAATGGAAGCTTTTAATGATTAATTTTGAAGAATGCCTACACCTAAACGTTGTTTAAGGTAATTTCAAGAAATTGGTGGGATTTAGACGAGCCACACTTTGCGTACAAGGTTCATTAGCAATCGAGGAGCTGCTCTGCCTATTGACCGTGCAATAGTCAAGATCCTATAAGGCCTTATTGGTGTTATTATTGGTGACAATGTCATAAGAAGGCTTTAGAATTCTTTTCGAACAGGTGACTCCTTGTGCCGTTGTTAAATGCTAATCTGAGACGCTAGATCGTGATACGATAAACGTGTTAAGGGAGCAATTGAAAGACTTAAAGTAAACCATTAAAGCCTGTTGTACCTAAACGAAACCTTGAGGATATGAATAAAATTAGCAGGACTTTTTGAACCTAACATATACAAAGCCAATTTAGTTGTTTAAGCTTTAGCAAAATCTATGTAAAGCAAAATAAGGATAAGCCGAATTTAAACACTCAAATTATATATGAATTAGGCGAAATGACAACAGTGATGATTTTGGCGTTATCACACTTTCTTATGTAGTAGCTCGGAGAACGGGTTCTACAGACTCAAAGTCATTTGATCATCTTTTTGCAAGCCTTCCACGATGCTCTTCGCTGATTGCAAGAAATGGGACGAAACAATGGCAGCGCAGAATGGTATTAAATGCTAGCCTTAGCGGAGGTAATTTGAAGGTTTATACGCTATACAACAATTCTCCTTAAATATATCTATCAGAGAATGAAGGCGAATCCTTGTTCGATCAAAGATATCTTGAGGTCAATCCTATTTTTTGAAAAGTTCACGTTTTTGTGAGATGCTTGTGAGCATTGCACCTCTAATGAACAATTGTTCGCTGTTATCATGTTCTTGATTGTTGTAAATATATTTTAAAAAACTTTTACTCACATTTTCTCAAGGTCCTCAGTGTTAAAGCACAACTTCCTAGACCTTTCGAAATGATACATTACAACATTGCAACCGAGGCAACCGAGTTTATTGAAGCGGTTAAAAAATCTAAATGGCCAAACAGATGTAACAGAAAATTAGAACCTGTTTGTTAGAGTGTGACGATTCATATTTGTATGATCAATTTTGAAGAATGGCCTACACTTGAACGACGTTTCAGGTACAAGCAATTGGTGGATTTTAGATGAGCACACTTTGCACTGGGTGGTGCACTGCATGTGCATCAACTACCACGTAATCGCCTTGCAGGAAACAAAGTCCAAGAAGACGGATGGCACACTCATCATTCAAGGTAAGAAAATCCGTTATGAACTGTTAGAGACATTAGATTTGTCGTGCACCCGTCTGTTGCCCATTTTGCATTTGCATGAGATCCTATAACTTCGCCTGGATATAGACTCCATCCTCTAAATTAGAAAACCATCACTAACATTGTCTGCTATTCTCCAACATCAGCAGCTGATGACTCGGAACTGTTATTTATGAGAATTTGGAGGAAGTCATGCACAAAGAAAAATTGCTCCCATGAACTTGTCGAAAGTAACATCAATGCGAAAATTGGAATGCCAGAAGAGAGGAGCATAGAACCGGTAGATTCAAATTAAGACTCCGAAATAAGACAACCATCTTGTTGGCTTCTATCCACTGCAGAACTTTTTCGTGGCAGCTCCATTTTCATAAGAAAGAACACCAGTGGTGGACATGTGAGCCGCCCAACGGTGCGACACATGCGGAGATTGACCACACTTACTAAGCGGAGGTGGACGTCTCAGTGGTATCATCAGCAGTTGTTCAGATTACCGTTTCCTCCAAGCAAAAGATGCCGAAAGCTGGAAAAGTTTGTCATTGCTGGAGGAAGGAAGGACATTTTATATGACGGCGTAAACTATAAAGAATATCCCATAGTTTACCATAATATTCGTCGTACATTTTCTGCATTTCCTGACAATTGCGAACAATTACTTCAAACAATGTAATTAATTATAAAACGTCCAAAATGACAAATTGAGCCTTACTAATACAACTGTCAGCAGAGGCCACTCAGATCGATGTATTGACAACTTTGACATTCCAGCGATATATACCATCAGTCTTCAATCATTTTGCAAAACGTGAGTTGTACTTCTATTGTTGTGCCCTAGTGAACGCGACTATGTACTCGGAGGCTCTACCTTGATCTTGGGGCTTCTTGAAGCAGGTGTTTCAGATGTGGAAATGATCAAGTCAACTTTTTAATAAGTGGGGAAAACATGGAGTAAGGATGAATTGCGACATTATTAGCGCAGCGTGAAAAGTAATATTTTTCTTCAAACACTTTTCCAGAGCCAGCTTGCAGGAGATTTCCGTATGCTTCGAGATGAGATAGTTTTTGTCAGAAAACGATTGTAACGGGATTAAGAGCCATCAAAGTTCAATGGAAACTTTCAATCTTAACGTTACAACTATAGAACATTGCTCAGTGTTGAAATGACTTGTGTAGTAAGGATTTTGGTAGATTGTGTAGAAAGTTGGCTCAATTGTGCATAGTGCATTAAGCATTTGCCAGACTTCAGACTTATCTAAACTTGTATTTTTGAAACTAGAACAAAAATTGAAACTCCTTTTTAACCTCTTTTTTTATGTGAAGGAGCACACAGTGCAGGTGGAACTTTAAGAATATCGCCATGAACGCCAATATTTAAGAACCGATACTTATTAGATGCAGAGGACTGCTTGGACTGCAGAGAGCCTGGAAAAAAAGGGGGCGGGAGGGGTGTGCTAGAATTAAAAGCCAGAAACGCTGATAAACGAGATAAGATGTGCGTGAATTAGCAAAGTAGATGAAGATTGTCTGAAAAACCAACAAGCAAAACAGGACAACGATGCAGTAAAAGCTTACAGTATTAAAATACGTGAGCAGAAGTACACCGACTCCGAAAAATAGATGAGTCTGGAAGAACCAAGGCCGCAGGATAACACTGGGGGTGCGGACATATTTTGAGGACCTAACATCTAATGCACTGCGGCATTACTTCAAAATCTTATAAAAGACCAGCCGCCCCATCAGAAAAAAAAATGCTACCAATCTATGTAGTCGTATGGAACGATACATACCCTTGTCGTAGTTGGTGAAGCATTCTTGGACATGTATTGTGCTCTATCCATAATACCAACTATCTAGAAGCAATTGTTGGCGTATTTGCTTATTGAGATGATTTTTAAAAAACGAACTATTTCTTAATGCATAGTGACGTTAATTGAATTCATGTTCTATGATGCAAATTCCATATATATTATTTTGTGTTGTTTATGTAGCTTGGAGTGTAAGTCAGCGAGTGTTTGTGTGTAAGATTACCTTTGATATTATTTGTAATATCCTCTTTTTTCTTATCGACACAACACACATAACTATCCCAAATCTATCACGCAATAGATAAAGGTGTGAAGTTATAGAATCAAGGTCTAAAGTCACAATTTTCCCGCTTTCACCCATTCCAAGATCCATTTGCACATATTATTCAAGACCATTGAAGTTCGTAGGTATCTAGTTTTTGATTTAGAATGGTGCAGCTGCGCGGGCTGTGTGCATGGTTGCGAATGATGCGCACACTTACAGCTTGATGCTACCAGCGGGGCCGGCAGGTCGTGCACTGTACTTGGAGTTTGTAGTAATACTGTAGCCATGCCCTTGCTGTCTGCTGCAAGAATGGGCTGACATACGTGCTTATTTTCGCGCAAAGGAGATAATTGAGTGAGCGTAAGCGTGATATCTAATCTTAGATTTATACCTGAATTGAGAGGGCTTTCATTGCTGCGGTGCAGAAAGTCGTTTGGCAGCTTCCGTGGAGAAATGCAAGTTGGTCCCAGTACTTTGCAATAGCCTGGATAACGAGAATGATGCAATTAAGCTGGAAAAAGTAGGAAGACGGTGCCCGCCATAATAGAAAGATGCTATGTTGGTGGAGTACCGTAAAAGGAGTGATCTTTGTCTCGCCTCCAATGGAATCGTTGTTCAACCCGACATACCAAGGACATGAGCTTACAATAAATGCTCGGACTTTTTAGATACTTTTTGACGTGGTACGAGGGGCATTTCAGAGGTGTGGGGAAGATGTAAAACATCATGGGTAGTCGGACGACTGTGTGCCGTGGAGGCGTTCGACAATTGAGGGAATAGTTACTAGGAAATCTCTGACTCAAACTGATGCTACATTCAGACTTCTTGGAAATTTCTTCTGACGTGAGAATAGGTAGTTGGCTAGCAAAACTTCTACGTCGCTCCGACAGTTGTCACACGAACAATAAAAAAAAGAGTATTGATATCTCATATGATAGCGTACTCACTATCTCAGAAATAACTAACGGAAGAAATTTTGGAGAGGGGCAAAAAGACGAGCAGAAATTGCAATGGCAAAGCAAAGATACAGAAGATTTAAAGAAGAAGAAGCTACCGATATAAGTATTATTGCAATCGTCATAGCAGTAATTCAAATTCGCCAAT